CCACAGTCGCGCTAATAACAAACGCTATGATTCACAACGAACGTCTCACGTGCTCAACTCAATTGTCAATTACACGTCCTTGTCGTCACTTCTTGGCGGCTTATATATACAAGACTATCGCATATCTAGTAGCCTCTTGAGACTTCATGAACCTTTGAGAATATGATGTGTTACCAGCATCACGTGACCCACACTGTTGTAACAATATTAATATCTACTTGTATGTGTTTTTATGGTATCTTAAACGAAATCTATATTATTTTATTTCCAATCACACTTATCTGTCACCTGATAGGACAGTAGTAAGCTTATAGGCTTACAATGTTAAAATCTGGGGTTCACTTCTCTGAAGTGGACACAGCAGATAGCCCAAAGTGGCTTTGCATAAAAGAGCAAACAAACACTGTCACCTTTTACTTTGATCTAATAAACAGCCTTTCCATCATGAAAAGAAAAGTTTTGTAAAATCAAGTATGGCTTCTTTACAAATTTGAAGCTCATGCATGTATATTTATATTATTGATTTTTATTGTATTCGAAAATTAATATTGTAGGAATTAAATCAATGTAATGTTAAACTGTTTGAAGTCTTAAGCATGTATGAAGTAATTTCTTTGTATCATAATCATTTTAATATTATTTTATTAAACTTTTATGCAGAAAATTTATTATATAGCAAAAACAAAGCCTATGTTTTAAAATTTTAAGTTTTGGTTACTTGGTTGTCTTTTTTTTCAAATAAAGCTGTGTCTACTGCGAGAGATCAAACTCCAGATTTTACTGCTGTCCTACCAGGGGTCTAAAATTTTAAGTTTCACCAAAAAATGATGCATTATTATATACAAAAGTTGTTAAATATTATTTTAAAACATTGTTTATACAAGAAATATTTGCAGACATATTTATTTTTATTATGTGAATAGGGATATCAAATTGAAAACCTGAAAAAGGAAAAGAAAAATGGGAAAATCTTGTAAATGACTTGCAAAAGAAAATGGTATGACTTTTTATTTATAGCTATTAAAAATTAACTCTCTGATAATGTGACTTCTAATTCATGTTTTGTATCTCATAACATCTAATATGTACTTAGAAATGTTTTTTTATAAAGTTAATTTTTTGAGAATATAATAGAGCAAATATCCCTAGAGCTAATAAGGTGGCAAAACTGGGGGATACTGGGTGTATTTATTCCCCAATTTTGAACCAGTAGCAAAGTTCTCCTTTGAATGGGGAGTAGAAACGTATGAATAACTATCCTATAAAGTTGCTGTTTCAGTTTTGAATTCACTGGTCACTGTTAATAGCACTGGCTATGATTTTACATCTATAGATTCTTATTTAAAAGGGTTGACAACTATTGAAGTGATCTGTCATAATAGTGACTATCATATAAAATCTCTGAATAAGAAATTTAATAAGTAATTAGGTTTAACTACTCATCCAAATTTTGTTCAATAGCAAAAAGAAGACGAAAATCAAAATCAGACTTGTTCTAAGATGACAAAAGGTACAGAATTAGAACAGAATCAAAAGGTAAAAAAATTTAATTTTCATTTAGGTTATGTTATGATTATCTCTACATTCCAGCATTCATGAGTGATATCCAGTGTCTATAAACTTATTATTATTGTCACACTTCATATTTGGCTAGTAGAAATAGATGACTAAAATATTACATTGAATAGTTACACATGTAAGGTGATGCATGTAGGTTTTCACAATTCAAGTTATTGTTACAATTTAAATTAAATGGGAATACATTAAATACTGTGG